ACCTAGCTGGGTAATGAAATGTTTGCAAGAAAACAACCAAGCTCAGAGAACCCCAACGACTCCACTGTTAGTTTCTCTTAGGACTCTGGAATTCTATACAGGTAGGCCCCAGTTTAAGAACGAATCCTATTCCCAAGGTCTGTCCTTAAGTTGAATTTGCATGTAAGATGGAATAGTATTAATGTATAATACTGTATAAGTAGCATTGTGTAATTAATTCGAACCATTGTGTATTTAACTCAAATCATTGTGAATTTAACTTGAATTTAGCTACAATAAGCTCCGTTTTTAACTATGGGTCATCCTTAAACAAGGCGTTCTTAACGCAGGGACTACCTGTACGTCAAAATAAATAGACTAACAACTTAGCCTAAACACAGTGCTGGACTTGAGAGGATACAAGAGACTACAGAAGAACGGATGGAGAATACAATTTCACAATAAAGTCAAAGTCTGAAGAATGCCTGTGATTCAACTTTGGAAGGATATATTACAAGGCAGGTCACATAAAGATGAATGAGACATAAAATGCTTCTGCCAGAAAATTTATATCCATATTTGGCCAGAATATTCACTCACATCTCTGTTTCTTCTTCTTCTTTTTCTTCTTCCTCCTCCTCCTCCACTTTTTTTTCACATTAACAAGAATGTACCTAAATTGCATTAAAGAGATTCAAAGGCAAAGTCACATATGAAACAGTTCTTTTTATGAGCAGCTGCCTAAGCAGGCCCAGGTCAAATATCCTAATTCAGAAGAGATCATAGTCAGCCAAACAGATCAGGTACATAAAAAATGTTTTTTCTATTCAAAAAGTTAGGGTGCATTATATAACTTACAAAAAAATCAACTATTGCTAAGCCCTACCCTGGTCCAATGCTCAATCACATGCAGCCCCTTAACAGACCATCCATGAGGTCAGGCAGCTCTTTTAAGAAAAAACATGTCAGTCTCCGGTGTGACCAATGAAATACAGATATGTGACAGGCAGGCTTGTTAATCAGAGCACAAGTCTGCTCAACCATGTTCTCCTGAGGCTGATTCACCGAACAGCTCTGCAGCAGGAGCTCTGCACTTTCAAAGGAGTCAGAAAAGTTCAGTACCATCACATCGCTTATTGCTATGTCTGATTTAAAATTTGATCAGATTTCTGTTCCAAGGTAAAATAATAGAGGGTTTTCATCAGAGAGATATCAGCAATCAGTGCCCATAGAGAATCACTCAGTGGCATCTTTCAAGTCTTACCTAAAGTTTAAGTTGTATAGCACTTTTACCATTTGTTCCCTTATCTCTGAATAAGAGATAAAGGAACAAAATGATTTCAGAATGGTTTGACTTCAAATTATTCTGTTGTATTCCTTCTGCAAATTAAACAGTTCTAGCAGCTGTTTGCAAAACATGCTGCTATAATAAATACAGTAGCAGCAATATAAATTTATAGCACAGACAGAAATTCTCAGTTTCCTGAACTGACAATAGTGTATTGCTGAATAATTAGGGAAAGTCTTAAAATGCACTTTCCATTTTCATGGTTAAAATCTGCAGTATAGTTGCATCTCTGGGAAATCTGGGTTCATTGAACTTATGGGCTAGATGTTTAGAATCACTTTTGAATATCAGGATGCAGCTGCATAAAAGGGGATGGGCGATACAAGCAAGCTGAAAGATTTTCAATACAGGTAGTCCTCAGTTAACAATGGTAATTAGGACTGGAATTCCCATCACATAAACTGAGATGTCACATGACTGCACCGCTTAGCAACAGCAGTTCTGGCACTTCTTGCTGCTGTCATTAAGCGAATCCTGTGATGTCATTGTGACATCATGTGGTCACCATTTGCGACCCCCTGCCAGCTTCCCCATTGACTTTGCTTGTCCAAAGTTGGCAGTGAAGGTTGCAAATGGTGGTCAAGTGACCACGGGATGCTGCAATGTCATAATTGTGAGCAGGTTGCCAAGCACCCAGATCACGATCACATGGCTGTGGGGATGTTGTGATAGTCGCAACTACGAGGATCAGTTGTAAGTCCCACTCATTCAATGCCATTGTAACTCTGAATGGTCGCTGAACAAATGGTTGTTAGATGAGGACCACTTGTAGCCTTTGGAGAGGTCAATTGCTTGGAATTCCCCCTGATATTCACTATACATTTTTTGTATTTTATACAATTTTGTATTTGTATATTTGTATATACAACTATCCACTCCCATGACTATATTTCTACACAATTACTTTTGCAAGCAGAAAGAGAATTCTCAAGAAAGAATGTGACAGAGGGAATCTAATGGGATGTTCTACATTCTACACCAGTCTTCCCCAACCTGGTGTCTTCCAGGGAGTATTGGAATTACAACTCCTATGGTCCTACAGCTGTTATGCTGACAAAGAATTCTGAGTTGTTGCAGAAGTCCTAGCAAATCTGAAAGGCATCAAGCAATTCTAAATGTTCAGAAATAAACACTGACGTGATCTTACATAACAGATTGTGAAGAAAAAAATGTAGTAAGAAAAATACCTAAGGGAGATGATCTCCCCAAAAAGGGTCCTGAGCGACCAGGAGGGTGTGGACCCAAGGGATTTCACACTGACTGTTGCAGTGCGAGTCAATATAACCCATTTTGTAAGCTGAATGCCACAAAACCAGGGAAAGTGCTGGCCTGCAACTGGACTTCCCTCCCAGGCTGACCAGCGGTAGTTCAGTGTTGCCAGAGGAAAACAAACAAATGAGCGGCTTTGGAACATGATGAAGCAATAGTCTCTCAGCACTTTGGTGATTGGCTGTGCCCGTCCGCAGGATCTGTGCTGCAGCTGTAGCATGAAGGCACCTGCAAAGTCTACAGCTCTGGCTGGACATGGTGGGGAAATATTGATGTGTGTACAGAAAGGTGAGAGCAGATGCACAAGCAGATGCCTGGAAGCCACAGGCCTCACTTTAAATAAATAACACTCCTTGAAAATCCACCAAGTTCATAGTTGAAGGGTGAATTGCAAAAGTACCTCAGGAATTCATTACACAGTCATTCTTCATCATGACCAGATCCTTGTGTGTGCATTCTCTTTCAAGACACACTGGCACTGGTTGTGGAGAGGAAAAGAGGCTGAGAATCTTGTACGAGAAGGTGATTTCCTTGGCCAATCAATTATGTCCACAAAGCAGCTGGTGACTTAAAACACCCAGGTGTCCTTCTCAGTGTTTCAGCACGAATAATGTTGGAAATGTTCCCTTGGAAGAGCTGATTCACTGCACAGCATGACTTGTTTTATTGTTAAAACCCTTTTTTTCCCCAAATTTTTCCCTGCATCCAACCTCAACTAGCCTGAGAAGATCATTGCATTTTGTTGTTGCTTTTAAAGTCTGCAGAAAAACAGATGCTCTGCAGGATTCACATTCACCAAAAGGAAAAAAAAAAAAAGGCTATGCATGGCCTATAAATAAATGATTTTATGAATCTGGTATTTAAACTGACTTCTTCCAAGGACAGCATAAACTACATTACCCATAGTGATTCCCATGAGTGCTCTTACATCCTATGGTACTTTTCAGGTCCCAAAAATTTCTTGTGTAGACGCACAACGATTCACAGTTCTACTGCAATGTATGCAATACAAAGGTTTAGGCAGCATTGAAACTCTTTTTCATGTGATTTTGCACATTCCGTGTTGAAGGCAAAGCTCTTAAATTCCAGTGTACTGCCTACCCTATTTAATATTAATATTGTCCTGAAATGAGCTTTGTCCCACTGGAATTTCAGCACCAGTTTCTGTATAATACAAATAATGTGTTAGAGAGGTTTCCAAGGGTCGGGAAGTAAATATTCTAGAAACAATCTAAACTTCCATTGTGAGTTCCATACTCCAACCAACAGGACTAGAGAAAACCTTCTAAATACTATAAAGAAAATGCTTCAAAGAAGCAAGACTTGCAGTCACTGATTCGGAAACATCCTCCAGGATGAATGCAGCTACAGCATCTCCAACAGAGTCTGTGAATCTGTGGGCATCACCCTCTATTTCCTCTTTCTGAAAACTTCTTCATCCTTGCTCTCCACTGCAGAAAGAGCAATGAGCATCTGAGCCGCATAGTAAGTGGCCATGATGATGACCCGTGAGTAGGGGACAGGAAAGCAGAACTTGTTGACAGCAATAGTCAGGTCAGACACCATGAAAAGCACAGAACCGATGCAAGCAGAAAGCTTGGTCCAAGTCCAAAGGTCGTTGCAGAGCTGCACACCAGCCATAGCCCGCCAGCCCATGAAGCCAATCAAGGCAATGTAGACAGCTACCAAGTAGGTAAATGGGCCTGAGAGGTAGGAATACAGGAAGGTGTAGCAGAAGCTGGACACCAAGCCAATCCCAAGGCCAACTTTCAGGTCCCAAGGTTTAATTCCAAATGCTGAGGAATATAGTATGTGTGTAATGCCGAACATCAACAAGCCTGGGGAAAGGAGAATAAATGAAGTTGAATCAGTAGAGAACAAAGTGGTTAACATATGTCACAATAAACATTTTAGAACAATACTCAGCAAAAATTACAACTGAAAAATCTATGTCTAATTCATTTCTACAAATGCCACCGTTTACCTCATAAAAACAGTCATTCAGAGTCAGGAAATACCAGCAGACTTCTGGTAACTTCAATGTTTGCAAAAATACAAAAAATAATTTGTGAAAAATAACTCTGCACACAGGATCCCATAACAGGATAATGAAGCCGAATATGTGCCCTGAGACTCAGTCGCCCAAGTTGCACTAACTATGCTATGTGGGGTTAAGCTTGACCTTTTCTAAAATCAAGATAAGTTCTATGAAAATGGAACTTCACTAGGCTCCCCAGTTATATGATCAACAAGGTTTTCAACCCCTCCCCATAGCTAGGAGAAATTAGTTTGTTGGAAATGAGCAAAAACAGGTAAGAGGTTAGTAAGATCACTCCCTTGAACCTGTCTAGAACTACCAGGTCTAAGTTAAAAAAAGATCCAGATAATTCCTAGATAGCAGTAGAGATATAGAAACATGGTAACACTTTGCTGCCATTTAGGAGCTATCTGGATTTTTGTAACACAGATGTGGTCACCCTAAATCATAGAATCCTAGGGTTGGAAGGGACCTTGGAGGTCTTCTAGTCTAACCCCTTGCCCTGTGCAGGCATTCACATATCCTTCTGGACAAATAGCTGTCCAGGATTTTCTTGAAAATCTGACTGCATTACTGTGGATGGAAAAAAAAAAAAAAAGTGGAATAGAAAATGTTAGCTTTCCTGTCTTCTTTGCAGTAAATAGAAAGAGTGTCAAAATGGCTAAACCAGTTCAGACTGACAGAGCTCGTTCTCACAGTATCAAAAACAAATACCTTCTATTTATTTTGTTTTGCTCTGTTCTGTTTTTTTAACAAGACAAGAAACAGATAGAAATTGTCTCTCCCACTCAAAGAAGAGTGGCTTCTATCCCTTTGCATCATGTGGGTAGGAAAAAGAGGTACAAGAATCTGAATCTTGATTTCACTAGAAACAGAGCTTGGGTTTGATACCCAGCAGTCACTGGAATTCTATTGTAATGGCTTCACATCTTTTCTACAATAAACCTTCCAATCTGAGAGTCTGTGTCTTTGGAAAACTGTTCTGCCCAGCCAGCCAAGGGGAGCCTGACACAGACCCAACCATCCTCACTTGTGTGCTGCTAGTACACAACAGTAAAATCCACTATTCAGAGATGGGATGACTGGCTTGGTTCTGTTACTGGAAGAATGCCTTGCAATACATCAAAAATCTGCACAACATATTGACAGGGCAAAACCAGTGAACGTCTATTATAGAAAATGTACATTGTACCTACAACTCTTGTAAAAACAGCTGACGTCTCCTGCCAGAGGAGACGTCACAAAACGTCACATGTTCATTTCTGCAAGGGTAATTGGGATGCATGAATGACAAGCTAAAAAGACAACAGATCTCTCTGAAAGGTCCAGGCCTCTGCTGTGATTGTTAATTTGTTTGTTGGTTTTTAATTCAGCATCCGAGCAGGAGTGATTTATAAAATTTAGTTTGGGGTGCAAAGGGATGACAAAGATCATAATGAAATTATGAATTATACCAAAACATTCCATGACCAAAAAGGTAGGGGAGCAAAGGGGATAAATGCAAAAGATTTCAGGGGAAGTATCCCTCAGTATCCAATAGATCTATTCCTGCATGAGCCAGAGGGCATCCAGGCGTAATCCTCTTGCACTCCATCTGCCACTCAGATCAGGGTAACTGGACTGAGGGTGAAGAACTTAGGGCGGATAGTGACTTCCCTCCATGTAGCAACAGGACACTGTTCCTCACCCCAGTCTCTTGGTACTACTCCCCACGTCTCTAGTTATACACTAAAGCTCCACACAGGAGCAGACCAGTTCCAATTCCAGTGCCAAAATGGGGTGTTGATTCCACATATAATCCTTGACAGCACCAAAGGTTCTGTTCCCTTCAAAGCGGGCATATCCACTGACCGTGAACAAAGTAGCCTTGCTCTTGCCAGATGAGGAAAGCGTCTCCCATGGCGGAGAATATCAAGCCAGCAAAGATCCTACAGGCGTTGTGATGGGCTGTCAGGAAATTGATCCCATGTGCCAGCAGGAAGACCCATAAGCAGAAGATTGGCAAACACTTGATCAGAGCACTGAACCAGGAAGGGCTGGAGGTTGGCAACCAGAGGACAAAATAGACACAGGTGGCTTTGAAAAAGGGCACAAGTTTAGGACCTTCACTCTTCACCTGGAAGAAACAAGGAGGTGGCCGTGAGTGTTTTTTCCCCTCAGATCTCTTCAATAGCCATAGAGCCCCATATAGTAGCAGTAAGCAACACTGCCATATCATTCCTCTCAGTCTGGACAGCCTGCTTCCCTTTTTGTTCAAAACTCTTGCTGATCAGCAGTGTTTACAAGAACAAAAGCAACTTAAACTTTACCATACTTTCCCCATGTCATCACTGTTCAGCCTCAGAACTTTTCCATGCCAAAAACAGAGGTTAAAGTTTATTTCCTGCAAAGTACCAGCATCTTGGAAATCCATCTCTCTGATTATGCTTAGGGTTTTACACATACTAGTGATTGTATATAAGGGTGAAATTTGTTCTGAATACTGTATACATTCTGAGGATCTCTCTCTCTCTCTCTCTCTCTCTCTCTCTCTCACACACACACACACACGTGCATTCTGTTCTGCCTATACTATAGATGCTCAAGCAGGTATAATTTTCCAAAACTATAGCAGTAGCAGGGCATATGCTGGTTTATAGTTGATTTCTAGCATCATTCATTTATTTATATAC